AATCTATATTAAAAAAGTTAATATTTTTTATAATTTTTTATATTATAAAAAAATTATTTATTTAAAATTATTAAAAGTTTTATACTAATTTATAAATTAATATTGATAATAATTAATAAATAATTAAAAAATAGTTAATAAGTAACTAGTATAAATACTTTATAAATAATTTTAGATAGTAGTTATATACTTCAATTATAGTAAAAGTAATAATAACTTAAAATTAAATACTTAAAAAAAATAATATTGAGTAGTTATTAATTACTTATTTAGTAAGTAATTAAATATTAATTATCAAGTATTTATAAAGTACTTATAGTATTTATAACTTTTGAAGCTATATTAATTCTATTATTATCAGTTTCTGCAATCTAATAATTATAAATTATCAGAATATAATAGTCAATATTATTATAATTATGAAGAAAAATTATTATAATAATGTTTTTATCATCTGATCTATTTTCTATTTATATAAGTTTTAATTTAATATGTAGTCATATGAGAAGATTAGTCATATCTTTTAATAAAATTAAATAATTTATATACTTATTAAAATTCTCTTTTAATAATCTGAAGTTAGTTATTTAAATATATATTAAATAAGTTATTATCTAAATGCTACATAGTAATAAGCTAATTATATAAAAAATCAATCTCATAAAATCAAATCTAAGTTAATTAGTATTTTCTTTTAATTGCTATCTATATGAATTCTTTATTTTTTAATTTAATTTATCTTATCTTTATTATTTTTTTAAATAAACTTTTAATATGAAATATCTATTCAATAAGTTATTATAAAAGTTTAAAAATAACTTTATTTTTTTAAATTAAAACTATAGTTAAAATTTATAAACTTTTATAAATTATTTTATATAATTAATTAACTAGTAAAATCACTTATAATATAATTTATTAATAGATATAAAAATTAAATTTTAAATAAGAATATTAAAATTTATTTTTTTATTATAATTATAAAAAATAATCTATTAAATTTTAAAAATTATAAAAATATTATCATTTAAAAAAAGTGAATTAATATATTTTAAAATATAATTTTAATATTTTTTTTATATTAATAAAAAAATAAATATTAAAAAAATTAAAAATTTTAATTAAAGATAATTTAATAGTTTTATAATTTTTTAATAAAATATAAAAAATATAAAAAAATAGAAAATAATTTAAAAAATTTATTTAAATACTAAAATATTAATTAAATTAGAAGAAAAGTTAATTTATATAATGTTTTAAAAAATTAAGATTGAATTTTAACTATAAAAATTATTAATATTATTAATTAATTGATTAAATTTTTAATAATTTTTTAAAATAAATATTTTTAATTTATTAAATTTAAAACTAAAAAAGTATTAAATTAGACTTATATTAATATTAAAAATAAATAAATATTAAATAATTTAATAATTAAATAATTTTAAAAAATTTTATTTAAAAAAACTATATCTATAATTAAAACTTTATATTATTACTCTAAATAATTATAAAAATTATATAACTATTAAATTTCTATAATATATTATTTATATATTATTTATATTATATCAATATATAATTTTATTATTTATTTTTAAAGAAATTTTTATTTGTGAAAATCTTTTAAAGATTAATATTAAAATTATAGTGATTTTCTCTTTATATTTTAGTTTATAAGCTTTTAGAGTACTGAAAAATTAATTTATATCATTTCTTATAATAAAAAATACACTTTATATGTCTTTAAACTATTAAAAAATTACTATTTATTTTATTTAATAATAAAATATATATAGTTTTTTATTAATATATTTTTTATATATTATAATTATTAAATTTATTTAATTTTATTTATATAATTCTATTATTAAACTTTTATTAAAATATTAAATATATTTAAATAATTTAATTTTAATAAAAAAATTAAAATTTATTTTTATTTATTCAAATATATGAAGAATAAATTGCTTGATTAATTATATAGTAATCACTAGCTATGTAGAAGTTATATACAATGTGAATTATATAAAAAGACAGATAGATCTGACATCTCCACTCACTGATGTAACTGTATATGAGATTACATACAAAAAAAAATAGCCTGTAGCTAGGTATCAGTATATAATTTGACTGAAAAAATCTATATTGTTGAAAAATCAGTTATTTTCTTCATATAATCATTTCTGTCTGCTTACTATATCTTCTAATATCTGTTATCATAGAGTGTATCTAGTTGCTCAAGCAGCTTAGTCAGTCTGTTTGCTGTGTTCTCAGTGGATAGAATTTAATCAATCAAGATCTCATTCTTGCAAACAAGATTCTGAAGAGTATGAAAGCAGACCTTTATATACTTAGATCAGTGTGAAATAGCCTCACTTTTGATTAGTTCAATCACTGATTTATTATTTATCTAAATCATATACATCAGCTTATTGACTGGTGATTTGATTGAGCTATCATTATCATCAAGATTATTGAGCTGAGATGGCATGAAGCCAGCATCCTCTAGCAATTCCTGGAGGCAGACAAGCTCATAGACAGTCTCTGAAGATGTGATATATTCAGTCTCAGTAGATGATTTTAAAACATCTGTCTGCTTGCTGCTTCACTAAGCAACAGAACTCTCTGCTATATAAATAACATATCTGATGGTAAAGTGAGAATCTGAATCACAGTCTGCTCAATCAGCATCAGTGAACACCATAGATTCTATATTTGTATCTTTTTGATAGAACACATCTATGTTGAGTGTGTCTTGTAGATATCTAAGAATTTACTTGAATGCTGCTAAATTCTTCAAGGTAGAGTGAGAGCTGAATCTCTCTAGGAATCTAGCAGCAAAGCTTATATCAGAGTGTGTGTTGGCAGTGAGATATTGCAGAGAGTTAATCTCTGATTGATAAAAATATAATGTAAATTCCATTGTATAAGCAATCAGTTCTTCATTATTGCTCATGAAATCAATATTTTTCTCCATAAAAGAGGATGTTGAGTGGTAGTCATTTATTGAGAATTTCTCAAGCAGGTTCTTTATAAACAGTGACTGAGACAGTGATAATGATTCAGCATTCTGATTAATCTTCATTCCCAAATATCAGTTTGATTCACTCACATTCTTGATCTCATAATTAGCAGTGATCTGGGCTTTTGTCCATTCAATATCTGATATATTCAGGCTGTATAGGTGAACATCATCCATGTAGATGATTATATAGACCTTGTAGATGTCATTTATAAAAAAATCAATGTCATGAGAATTGACATAAAAGTCTGTTTTCAATAGCATTTTTCACAGCTTCTCATATCATAATAATGCTGCTTGCTTCAGGTCATATAGTCTTTGCATCAATTCACATACTAGATCACCACATTCCTCATAGAACCCAGTGAGTTAATGCATATATATACATTTATTGGCAGGAAGCCAGGTATTTAAGAATACTGTAACTATGTCAATCTGCAGAATATGCTATTCTCAGAATACTAAGATTGTTATAAGTGCTTGAGAGGTAGAGACTGATACAACTGATATGAATGTCTTCAAATAGTTGACATTCTTTTCTTGATAATTGCTGCAGACTACTCAGCAGACCTTATATTATTTGATTCTATCTACATTATTAATCTTTTTATTGAACACTTATTGACTACATAGAATTATCATATCTGGAGTTCTTTCAACTAGCTGCCATACATCAATCTGCTTGAGATGATTAATTTTCTTAACACAGGCATAGAAGTAATATTTTCAATCTGCAGATGTTTGAGCCTGGGTGAGATTCTTTAAAACTGACAAGCTGATGATCTCAGAGTCTGTAAGGACATCAGTCAAATTGTCAGTGAAATTCCTTACTGAGATCTCTCTTACTGAAGTAATATTCTCAGTGAGCATTGAAGAATTCTCTATCTCAAAAGTAAACCCTGAGAGGGTAGTAGTGTTTCACATTAAAAATATCAGAATTTACACAGTAATCTTATAGTCTATTCATCAATTATTTGTAGAGTATAGAAATACTGAAGAGGTAGATAGAAACTTCTCTTTCACCATGAAATTATCTGTTGATAAATTATGTTGAGTAGAGAAGATTGCAACTGTGACTATATAGGTAGTGGAAGACAGATTCTTGACATCTTACTCAGGCAAAGTCAGAGAATCTGTCAAATGAAGATCTTCTTAAAATATCACATCTTTTGACATGTAAAGAGAATTATTAGAAGGATTGATCAATCTATAATTAGTAAAACCATCATAGTCTGTAAATATAAACTTCTGTGATTGTAAGGCCATCTTCATATTTGACTTGAGCACTATTTTTAAATAAGTCTTACACTCTCATCAGTGAATTCTATGTGCAGAGGACAGGGCCTTGAGCCAAGCTTCATATGGAGTAACCAGCTTCGAATCTAAATCCTCTATACTATTATAGAGCTTGACTAATGTTGGCATAAAATTAAGCATTTCAGTCACTGCAATTACCACCTCACTTTATATCTGGAGGGAGGAGGAGGAATCTATTAATAATATTTGAGCTTTTTCAATAATCAAGCTAATAGAATATTTGAACACACATTTTGCTGCAAAGTGTAAGGTGAGGTTGATTTTCATTTAATACTCTCACTCATTATATAGACAGCTGCAGTGTTTGAATTCAACTCAGTATGGTCAGAGTGAATAATAACAATACTATGATTGAGCAGATTCTTTATAAATTGATTGAAAATCTGTATATATTTTAGAGCTTCATTGTGATGCTTCAATAGAAAGATTTATCACATTCGCATAGCATTATCAGTGATCATCATCATGAGCTTCTTACCTGCATAATATGATGTATCTTCTTCATTATCAAGTGTTTCTCCACCTCTAAATAGATCCACCCAGATCTTAAGACCTTTGTGAGTAGTACAGTATAGCAGAGCATTTTTATAACTTGCACATTTATGCTTGACTTTATGATTGAATGAATATCCAACATGACAGACTTTGATTTGAACTCTTATACCTCCTCAATTTTCTTTTGCATGTAGTTTTGCTATATATTGAGAAGTGTAGAATAGAACAAGTAGAATACCATATCATTTGATAGTAAAATATCAAGTATTTCTAATTTCATAATAATATCATTGAACTTATCAAAAAATGTATATATGTCAGTGATTTGAACATCACTCATTGATGTAAACACCAGGACTGCTTCCTTGCAGAGCTATATTTTCAAGATAAAGAACTCTTTCTCAACTACATGTCAAAGGGAATAAGCAATCCTTCTCTTATCATACTTATTAAAATAGGGCTTAATGCTGGCTGTCAATATATTCAAAATGAATATGTAAAGTCAGTGATTTTTGGCCTTTCAAAAAGAAGCTCATTCAGAGTCTTCATCAGGGCTTTTGACTTGCTTATCCTCCAATATAACTTAGCATTAAGTGTCAATTAGCTTTGCCTTCATATGTGCATACCAAGAGAGATAATTCAAAGATCTAACCAGAGCATTCAGCTTAATGACATACTTAGTATTCTGTTTGAACTGGCTGATTGTCTTATTGACACAGCTATCTAGATCATAAAGGTTATATTGCATTCAGAATCTCAAGTTCAGATCTCATGCTAACAGTCAACTCACTGGCAGATTTGCAGACATCATAGTCTTGTCATTCTGAGTGTGAAGTCCTTTCAATTGAAGTTGAAGCTGCAATTCTTTGCACCTCTCTTTTTGAAGTTCTAAATCAATCTTTTGACATTTGAGATCTAATCTCCTCAGTTGCAATTCTTCAAAGTCAGTTGCTGGCAGTGAGTTAGAGATTACTGCAGGTGTCTTCACTCCATCTTCTAAAGAAGTTGAATCAGTATATTTGACATGATGTAGGCGGATCAGCCTCACTGTAATAGAGGCTGTAATCAGCCCAGCTTGCTGATCAGATATTTCAGAAAGTTCAATATTGAAACTATTAAATGTCTCTAAAGGGGTCAGTAAGCTTATAGCCCTCTGATTATTTTCAGATCAATCAGATTGACTGAATTGACTCAATCATGATCATGAGTAAGTCATTATATGTTCTGCCATATTGTATTAATCTTCTTTATAATGGAGTAATCTTATTCAGTGAGATTCTTGTCTATAAGCTTGATTGAACAGATTGACATATTCTTATGTAATCAGTCACTGAAAAATTAGTGAGTTGTAAATTTTTCTTTCACCTGCTAAGCAAACAGATTGAACACAGAAAAAAAAAAAATAATAATATAAGAGCATGTCAAATCAATCAATTGACATAAAATAAAATAATATTATATTGAATAAAGTGAGCAGTAATTAATATATACTATATTTAACAAGAATTCCTTGAATTAGTAATTATTTATATAAAATAAGTCTCATAACCTGTGAAGGATAGATTGCTTGATTGATTATATAGTAATCACTAGCTACACAGAAGTTATATACAGTGCAAATTACATAAAAAGATAAATAGATCTGACAAAATATATATTTATAAATTTTAGATTAAATTAAAATATAAAATAAATAAAAAGTAATTAATTTAATATTTTAAAATTTTATTAATATATTAAACTTCTTATTAATTCAAATTAATTTTTTTTTTTTAATTTTTTATATAAAAATTATATTAAATTTAAAATAAATAATTTTTTTACTTACTACTCTTTAAAATTTTCAACATATATATATAATTTTAAAATAGTTAAATTTGATAAAATATTGAATTTCAGTCAAAAAATCTTTTTATATTAAATTATTGAAATTATTAAAGATTTAAATACTTAATAAATATTTTTTTTTAAAAGCTATAATTTATAAACTTTTCAGATAATTAAAGAGCTTTTATAGTTCAAAAATTAAAAAATAAATTTAGTTTAATTATAAAAGAAAATTGTTAATGTTAAAAATATTAAAAAACTTTTAATAAAACTGTTATTTTTGTCATGACTCAACTAGAGTCAGGATGATAATAAGATAATAGCTTCAATTCTTCTATTTAACTAGGCAGCTGTGACAAGAATACTAAACTGAGAATTAAAATATGAAATAAATGAGCAGCTAAATATATATAGTGGTTAAGAATCAAATTGAATCAACTTTCAAAACATATATAATTGGAGATCAGATTAGATTAACATGAGTGACTAAATATGATTGAGATCAGAATAGATCAATCTTTAAAATGTAGTAGGGTGAATCAATATTATTTCATATACAAGCAGCTGCGCTGCAACATTACCCCCTGGTTTAAAAGAGTACTTGTCTTCAAGCAGCTACATTAGAAGCAAAAAAAGAGCAAAATGAAAATCTACTAAGCTTATCAGTAGACTAATCACCTTGACCATCATTTATCAAATTCTTATAGATTTCCTTCTATACCTCACTAACATCAGAGTCATCATCAGATCCTTGCCTAGAGGCTGAGATTCTTTTGGCAGTTTGATAGTCATAGAGCTTAGGAGAATGTGAATAGAAATGATAGTCTTCAATTCAATGATTATGAGATTCACAGTGTACATAACAGTCTTCTTGATGGAATTATCCTGTTGAGAGGGTGAAATTGACAGGGTATATGGTGGAGAATTATTTGAAAGATCAAAAGCATTAACTTGAATCTGATTGAGATTCATAGGAGCATGATATTCACAGTGATCAGCGCAATCAGGGCGATCAATATGAGCTTGTGGTGTGGATGAAAATGAAGAATTGAAAGCTAATTGCTGAACAACGCGCAGGAATTCCTTGTAGATCTGAAAGAAATTTAGCTGCTGAGCTAAATGATTCTGAATTGATACACTGAGGCCTTAGCAGAATTGAGATATCTTTGAAGAATCCAGCTAATCCTGAGCTCTGGCCTCATAGAGAATGCGTTCAAACTTAGTAATATAGACTGCTAAAGATTCATCTGATACCTGCTTTAGACTGTGTAGTTTGTCTTCCACCTGAATTATTTTATTTGAATTATTATATACATAAAAAAGTTGATTGAGAATGAAGTTGTAATCTCAATTTCTTGTTTCTTCAGCTTGAGCTAGCTGGAGAAGAACTATTGCTTATATACTTGAATCTAAATTTAAGTAGACATAGTAGAACTGGGCAATTTAATCTCCAATAGCAGCTTGATCAACGCGTAGTTTGGCTTTGATTGAGGGGAGCCAGGTGTCAAATTTCAGGGTTTGACCAGTAAACTTTTCAGGGTCTGGCAGTGAGGGCTTCAGACGGGATTGGAATTGAGATTGGGAGCTGTTTAGAGCAGTCTGCAAAGATTGGCATTCAGCTTGTAAAGATTGACATTCAGCCTGCAACTGTTGATTTTGACTGTGAAGCTTCTGAATAGTACTTTCAAATTCTTGGTGAAGAGCAGTAAGAGAAGTTTTCATAATGAAGGTAAAAAAGACAAAAATTAACAAAGGTTTTGAGTACTCAGCAAAGCTTAATCAGACAAGGGTATAGATATAGACATGGACGTGGACATGGACATGGATGTAAGGCCTGTCTACTTAATCCCCAGGGCTTATGAGAAAGAAGAGTTTAGTATTATATCATAACTCAACTAGAGTCAGAATGATAACAAGATAACAGCTTCAATTCTTCTATCTAACTAAGTAGCTGCAATGAGAATACTAAACTGAGAATTAAAATGTGGAATGAACGAGCAGCTGAATATATATAGTGGTTGAGAATCAGATCAGATCAACCTTCAGAGCATATATGATTGAGAATCAGATCGGATTAACATGAGTGACTGAATATGATTGAGGTCAGAACAAATCAACCTTTAGAGTGTAGCAGGGTGGATCAACCTTATTCCATATACAAGCAGCTGCGCCGTAACAGTTTTAAAGATTAAAAATCAAATTAGAAAGTTTGAAATTCAAGTCAAAAAAACTGTAGCAGCTGTATTAGAAGTAAGTCTACGAGCATATATGATAAATGACAGATTTATTAGAATTCATGAAATTGTTGAGTTTTTTGATGAAGTAGTTAAGTTTAACTGAGAAGAATGATCAGTAGCTCAAGATTCCATCTTAATAAGTATTAAAAAAAGGCTAACTAGTTAACTAGTTAGTTAACTACAATAGCTGACTAACTAGAACTAATAAATATTCACAGATTATGTCACATGCGGCAGAATGCGCCTCAAGGTTGTTAGACAACATATTAAATGCGATCCTCTTGGCGCCAAGGCTTGCGGTGTGAATAAGTGGAAGCTATGGCTTGGCTAAACCTTGAATTGAAGTCACTGGTTCTACTGTCATGATGGTTGAGACACAATCTGAAGGAGGTGAAAGCCATATAGAATCATCAAAGAATAGATGCCATTCTTCATCCCACATGTAACAAACTTTAGGAGCTGTCAGTATGTTCTGCTGAAGAGGAGGAAAAAACTTTAAAATAGTGACAGCCACTTACGAATCCATCCTGTGTCTTTTTGGGTTGCACTCAACCAGTGCACTTGACCAGCTAAATTATCGTGATATAGGCCTGTTATGCCGGGAGTCGTTGTAAGTGTAACAAATAGAATATCTAGAACATACATTGAAGTCTTTGTCAGAAAAACACATTCATATAAACTACCTATTGGCAAAACCCAGGAACTGTGAAATGAGACATCATTTTATTTCCACTAGCAGAGACTGATGATGAGGGAGAAAGAAGGAGATTGTTCTAGTCCACATACCAGTAGTCATAGTGTCATTGTCAAAATTCATATATCTCTCAGGTTGAGTGAGGAATTTTATTTCACCTGCACTAGTAAAATAAACCAGTGTAGCTGTGTCTCTATAAGTTACTCCCACAATCCAGATACCATTTGATGCCTCCTCTGCGAATGCGTAAAATGTATTGTCGAAACAAAGCCTATACAATGTATGGTTCTGTTCCTGTCCGGCTAGTGTTGGTGAAAGTGAAGCTGCTGGCATTTTACGTGGTACAATACCAGCTGCAAATATTCTATTCACAGCTAAGAATAGCTGGAACAGCATCAAAAGTGTGTAAAAATGCATGTTTCTCTGGAGGTATCACAGTTGGGCTTTCTTTGTATCCACTGAAATCAAAAATTGAAAATCAAGATGATGTCTTCAACTGATTAACTTGAATGGCATCCATTGAAAAGAATAAATTCTAAGATGGGGAATGGAAGAGCAAATATATAGTCTCAGTCAATACTACTGAATGTTTGCCCCCCATGAAACCTCATATGAAGATCCCATAGTATGTTAACCTCCACATGATATGTGTACATCAAACCATGTTAAAATGAATTCCTATGCTCCTTTTTTTTAGATTCATATTGCTTCCAATTTGTAGGAAAGCAGAGGTTTTAAAATAGACTTTGCACAGAGTTTCCAATTGAAAGAAGAGCTGGTGGAAGATAAACTTTCTTCACCATCTCTTCAGTCATTAAGGGAGCACTACATGTCTCTATTCTTTTAATCTTTAGATATGAAGATTGGATTTAACTCTTTACTTTCCTTTGTGATAGAGGGAGCTGAGGGACCACTGAGACAATGGAGAGCCTATCAACATGTTCAGAAACTTTATCCGCAAAAGCTCCTGATTATAATTAATGAATGTGGTGTGATTTTCTAGCCTATTTTTCTGTCAGTTGCCTCCACTTGAAAATCTTGTGAAAAGTTAACTTTCTAGAAGTCTAAAGAGTGTTTTTGACAAAAGAGCTATGAATGTTTGAGCTGAGGAAGAAAATTTGATTCAGGAACTACTCTCTGATCATTTCAGCTAACATTCAAAACTACTGTGATTGCACTATTATTTCTGAAATGTGCAGAATTCAGATTATCTCTTTTCTTCTTCCTCAATCTCAATTTTCTGATTAAGGCAATCCAGGTAACTGATCCTGAAATCTGATTTATGAGGTTATTAGAGTTAATCTGGGTTTCAAAAAGATTAAATATGATTTATAAATTGAGCCTCACTTTTTGACCTTATCACCCTCAACACGGGGTAGATAATGATTAAGTTTAGATTAAGATTAAGATAGAATTGAGATAAGATTAGAATAAAATTGATTAGAGGTTAAAATAGTTTGAGTAAGAATCTTAAAATTCATGAAGAATAATGTTCATGTTGTGTTTTGAACTAGCTAGTCAAAATCTAAACTATGTATGATTTTTATATTGTGGTCAAGCTTTACCACTACATCTTGCTAGCTCAGTTTAAATCTTTAATATTCAGAAATAAAAATTAATAACAACAATTAGATGCTAATTTTCCTCATGACTGAATAATTGAGACAGTTACTAAATGACATTTGAAGTTAATAATTAAAAACTATGAGTTTAAATCTAATAATATAATATTTAAATATCAAGAGTCATTATTTTAAAAATATCAATTAGATATTATTTAATATAAATTAGTTTTATGCTTAATTTTTAACATTAATCTTATCAAATTTTTATGAAATTTAAATCTATAGATTTTAAGCTTTTTATACTAAATATTATTTAAATAGTTAATTATTTTAATTAATTAATTAAATTAACTATTTAGCTACTGAAAAATAAAATAAATAATAATACATCACTCTTATTTAAATAATAAATATTATAAAATAATAAAGTTTAAAATATTAAAGTTTTATTTTTAACTAATTTATTATTATCTTAATAATATATATAATAATTTAATATTATTTCTAAGTTATTATTATCATTATCATTTTTATATTTTTATATAAAGTTAGTAACTATGATAAGTATAACAAACTAGTTACTAAAAACAGTTGATAACTAATATATATGAATGAATAAGAAAGAATCATTGAAGAAGGAAAAAAAGATCATACAAAGATGAAATCTAAGTTATAAACAGAGTATATACAAAAGTAAATTAAATAAAAGTTGTAGAGATGAAAAAATATACATAAAGACAGAAGAGATAAAAAAAATTATACAAAAATAAAGTCTGAGAAATAGAAAAAATTGAACATAATCTTTTATAATATTTTTTTCTATTTATAGAAATATTAATATTTTCAGTAATAGTGAGTAGAGTATTAAAAAGGAAAACAGTGATTGCAGATGATATTATATGCAGTAAATACAACAGTATCTTTCAATGTAGATCTAAGCTTTCAGATCAGCTATATAAAATTAATTTATTTTATAAATAGTTTTTTTAATAAAAATGATTTACTCATTCATTATAGATTTCTTCTATTTTATATTTAAGCTTATTTGCCTCTATGAGTAGTTTTGATAAGTGTTAATTATTAAAATTTTATAAGAAAAGTATATTAATAATAGCTAATTAAAGAATATTTACAAGTAATATATTATAAATATTAAATAATATATTTAAATAGTAGTTATAACTACTCAAAATCTTTAAAATTATATATTTTATATGATGAATATTTAATAAAATAGACAATTAATCATTTTAAATACTTTTATATCTATATTTTTAATATCTTGATAATTGAATTTAATAATAAAAATAACTAATTCAGTAAAATTACTCTCTATTATATATTTACAATTTTAAATATAAATAAATTCAATTAAATTAATTATCTCAAATTAATTTTTTATTCTTTATGAGTTTTTTTTAAAATTTTTTAAAAACTTAACTATTCAACATACTTCTGAGATTTTAAATTTTAATTTTTAATATTATGATTATAAAATCTTATTAAAAAATATCTTCTTGATATATCACTGTCTTTTATATCATAAAAACTATTTTTCTACATTATAAAAATATATTAAAGTTTACTATCAATCTTAAAATTTTAAACTCTATCATAAAATTATAAAAAAAATTAATAATAATATTATTATAATTATTATTAGCTTAAATTATTTAAAGTTCTTCTAACTGAAGTTTTAGTTTTAAAGCTTTATAATTTTTTCTATTATTTATTAATTTAAATTTTATTTTACTAAAAGAATGATAACTATAATTATTATTATCAAACTTTAACTAAATTAAAATATTAAAAGATAAATATAATTAAAATTATTTAATAATTACTAAAATTATATAAAGATTAAAATTTAAAATATTAAAAATATATTAAATAATTAAGCTCTTAAAGAATTTAAAAAAAAACTCATAAAGAATAAAAAATTAATTTGAAATAATTGATTTGATTAAATTTACTTATATTTGAAATTATAAATATATAATAAGCAGTAATTTTACTGAATTAATTATTTTATTATTAAATTAAATTATCAAAGTATTAAAAATATAAATATAAAAGTATTTTAAAAAAACTTTACTATTTTAGAGAAGAATCTTATTAAAATATATATCTTCTCAGAGTCATAAGTCAGAATATTCTATAATATTATTATATATTTTTTATATATTCTCAACTAATTCAGAAACGTATTAAAAACTTTATTAAATA